CTTGAATATCTTTTTACCCATCCAATCCAATGTGTAAAACAGCAGCCTTCTTCCTTTTAGATGAAAAACGATAATGGACATGTGAAATAGGGATCTTAATTACGTAAATGTTTGGTGAATCCCTGAGTAATAAAACTGTAGAGCACAATCTTCTACCTGAGAAAGACAAAACGTAACTGGCAAACCAAATCAGACGAAACACAAATAAATTGACCTTTTTCAATAATTCTATTTAGCAAGACAAAATTTGATTCAGCGTGAAAAGGATAACGATGCTATGTACTTTATGGAAACCAGTATATGCTCCTGTGATGTTATGTAACCTTTACACGCTATTTGTATATAAGCAGTGTCATCCAAATAGCATTCATTAGTGAAATTGTTGACTTTCAAAACAACTTTGTAGATAAAAGATTCATTGCTTATTCCACATTGGCGTCCGTTTTGCGTTTCATTAAATTTTGTTTAAATAAATTGAACTCATGCAAGAAGTTGATTTTTGGAAAAAAAAATCAAGGAAATAAACATTGTTTGCATCAAAAATTATCATTCGTTAAAAAAGTACGAATACATACACGTCTTGTTTTGTTCCAAAGCTATGCTATCGGATTCAACACTTGTAACATGCCATTAAGACATGTCTTCAAATACAATTTCTTTAAATTCAAATAGCAGCACACCGATGGCAGATAGAAAGTGGAGCACTAAACACGATTTTAGGACATGAAAGATGTAATATTTCTCGATAGAATGTAGCTTTTACAGCTTACCGTTTGTTAGATTCACTTTGTCAACGTCAATTATGTTTTTATTTGTAGCAACACTGTGGAATCACGAATCCGCTCATTAAATCACTTTTATATGATATGTCAATTATTATGTTGAACTTTCATTAAAGTTTACTTTTTCTTATGTTCTTAAACATAATGAGGCATTGGGTACAACTGTTTTATATCGTTTAAAAAATAGTTTATAGCTCTCAATCACATAGCGAGTTAATGTAAATAAAGAAACATTGTTTTGTGTATCACTTTGACGGATTTTCTCCCATTTCTACAAGGATATTAGGACAGGGATACA